CACTTGAGGATTCTGATGGCAAGAACGCGTCGGCCTCGTTGATGCATATGATGCGGGCGCTGTTTCGAGTGAGCAATCTGACCGAGGGCCTCTCATTGAGAGGGATGTCCTTGATGATCTCTCCGTCCAGTTTTGGATCTTTTGTCAAGCTGCCGAGATTCGCAGTCAGCTTCTTGAATTCGTCCATGCTCGCCTGATAATCAAACTTGGCCTCGTTGAACTCCTTGTCCGCCTCCTTTTCTGTCATGGTTGTGAGGAAGTATTTGGACTTCATGTGGACGATTATAAGTCAATCTTTGTCTGACAGATCTTGTGCTCCTGGTCGTGGATGATGTGGAGGCCTTGTCATCGTTGGCGTCACCGGCTTGTGCTGAGCGGCGTTTTCGAGTTTCTGATGTTGCGCTGGGTGTTGGGCTCGAAGAACTTGTCCAGGAACTCATCAATCTTGAGTCCGTAATGTTCAGCTTCTTGGCTGGTGAATTTGGCCTTCGATCGCAGTCCTGCCATCCGGGCTGTGCTGAAGAGCTGCGTAGGCTGGCATATTCCGCGCTTCAATCCATCCTGGAGAACTTTGTACAGCTCTCTCTGTGGCGGCATGGACCATGAACGGCATTCTCTTCTTTATTGACGGTATGCTGTTCTTCAACAAGTGCAGGCGCAGGTCGTCGCAGCCTGAATTGAAATTCCTGATAGGCAGGTACGAACGCCAGCTCTGATCTGGACTCATCGTTGCGAGGGAACAATGTCATGAGCATTAGGTTCGGCTTGTTGTTGGCTGGCTGCTTATCGATGTAACAGCATATGCTGCACGAGCGATGGATGCGTTGTTGGTACGCGCTTGCACGCGGCAACTGTTCTGTTCTCCCTTGGCCGCCGGAATCAGATCTGACTGAATCTAACCTGGGACGATGACCTTTTCTTGGCTGCCGTCTTCCTGTGCAACGCTGGCCTTTGATTTTGAGGAGGACGAATCGCTGATTCGGAGTCGCAGGGCCTTCTTCTTTGGCACGGGAAGTAGAGGATGTCGATGTAGCAAATTTGCATGCGTGATCGTGAAAACCGAAATCACGAATTCTGCCGCCTCGGCGGCATGATGCACTCATGGCCACGTGCCCCAATATGTGAGCATGTGTTCTGACACCCCGACGCCTGCAAAGGCAATGATTTCGGGACCATGCGCTGCATTGCGCGCAGCCAGTCCGCAAGAAATGAACTATTCTGCAACATTGTACGGAAAGGTGGATGTGGGCCAAGAGTCGGCGAGGCAATCTTTTTTGCTTCGTACACGCGCAAGGTCGTAGCGGGAGACTTGCTTCCTTTCCGCAACACTTGAATCGAGTGCGTTGCTTCTTTCTTCACGCTGGATTGTTGAGGCTGTTTTTACAAGGTGGCTTGCATCAGTTTTGATGTGGGCGTCTGCAATTTCACCCATAATATCTGACCAGAGACTGCGAGAAACAGAGAGGAACCATAGCGCCTCATAAGTCCCAACAGTTGTTGACATTGCGGTTGCTGTTATGTTGCGTGCCCCATAGTTGACGAAAGATCCTCTCGAATTCGAGCCTTTGTGAGGATCTCGTTCTTGAGCAAGAAAGATAACACACGCTATGACTTATCCTCATTGTTGCAGAACTGCATACTGAGTGGAATACGTGACGCGCAACGAGAAAGCTAATAACCGTTGTGGAACTGAGTTCGCGACTGTATCCAATTTATGCGACCCAAACGCGTCTGTAAGCGGTGTGCATCTGCGGGGTTAGAGGAATGTCACCCTTCAAAATCTTGTCAAAGGCGATCTCCTGAAGTTCATCAATAGCAACATGCCTGTGGGCATTGATGCGCCAGCCGCGCTTCTCATCGTTCTTCCACTGGATGTGTTGACCTACGAAATGGAAATCATGGTTATCTTCTGAGTAACTTGGAAATTCTTGTGTAGTCGGCCACTGATTTCCTTCTCAAACGCACCGCCACCAACCATAAGAAGATCATCAACGTGAAGAGAAAGAGCTCCGTGAACTTGTCGATTCTCAGCATTGTTTCTAGAAAGAGGGTCTATAAGATAATACTTCTTTTCCCTGATCGGCGCTGATTGGGGGGGGCTTACCAGAGTACTGTATACAGATGTGCAAGCCCGTAAGACCTTAGTGGCAAGGCTAAGATATTCCACCATCTGAGCGGCGCGTCATTTAGCCTGTAGGCAGGCTTCTTTATCCGTGCACCAAGCCTCTGCTGCTTGGCGGAACGCTTTCTTCAGATGCTTCTCTCGGAAAATTTTGAGGACCCAACGAGCCTGGGTTGCCGTCGTTATCTTTTTTTGGTGGTGAGGGCCCAATGACCGTACACCCAGCTCTTGACCTTGATCTTTCTGGTGTCAACAAGCTCAAACACCTCATTGTCAAGCCATGATTTACACTCTAGGAGCTTTGCTTCGAGGAGTTCCTTCTCATAGCTCTTACTTCTGTGCCGTGGCTTCTTTTCTCTTCTTCCCGATGAGGTGGAAGCCCCTTAATGATTCTGGGGCGCAGAGCGCAAAACTAAGGTACGCGTCCTGATCAGTCAGAAAATCTCTGCGTGCATTGCGAGCTTCCAGCGCCTGATAAATTAGGACATTGGGGGTGGTTTTTTTAGGCTGGATTGTTCGAATTGTCTCTCGACCATCATTTCTAGGACAAGAGTCAGGTGTCTGTTCTGCAACTGAGGTTCTTGTGTTTCTGCTCGCTCAAGACTACGCAGATTCTGCGGCATGTCCAAAGTTACCACAACAGTCAAAAAATGGGCTGAGTTGGCTGCCGCTACATTGGCAAAGAGTCCACGTGATGAGGAAATGATGGGCTTATCATGCAGTAGCAGCTGCGGCGGCGTGGCAGGTCCGGCGACATGAACCTGAAATGCGCTGGTCTGGCGGGCGGTAGGCATGGCATGGTCCGATGATTCAAAGGTCTTGCAACATCAGGCGGATCGGGCAGTGGCTAGATTGCTGGCGCCTCTCTCCAATGAGTTGTGGACTGATGCACACATGATCGCATGCCATGGCCTTGGATCAAACGCATCCCAACCGCATTTGACCCGAACTCTTTGCAGCTGATCTGGCTAACACAAGACCAGTGGTGGCGTGAATTCATTTGGCTCTTGTCTGGAAAGATGGTGGCAACTGCTGGGTAATTTTCTGAAGCTTCTGGACGATTACGTCATCGGCTGAGCTTGTCGATAGCAAAAAAGATCTTGAACCCTAACAGTGTCGGCCACTGGTCGTGTTGTACTCCTGATGAATGGCACCCATCGCCCTGCGAAGAGCATCTACCTGCTGATGGGCGAATGGCGCTAAGATCAGAAGGCGCACCTTGTTGTCAAGCGGTTTCACCGAGAGGTGGCGCAAAATGCAAGGTCCCAGCAGAACTGATAGAGGTTCTGCTTCTGACTGTACCTGCGTTTCCTCCCACAGGCTGATGCTCACGTTTTGCTGAGCAGTGAAATTCCTGCATTTTTTAAAGATTAGCTGAACCTCGGAAGGTAAGTTGTGAAGCAGGCCTGTCGGCTTGTTCCACATGCAGCAAAAACGAAAATCACCCCAAATCACTGGTCGGTTTGAGAACAACTGCTGCGCGCAGCGCAAGCATCAGATTCTGGATGTCTGAGGCTTCCCGATGATGAAACATTGCTTCAAGCGATATCTCTCAATCGACGCCGCAAGTTCAGCCGTGGGTATATCGCGCCAACGCTTTTTCCGCAAACCTTACGTTGGATGACATCGGGCGCTGATCTCCATGAGCATGTGTCGTCGCTTGAAGGTCATGACATCAACCCCTACCCTCAATTCTATGAGCGTGGAGCATTGGCTGACTTAGCACGTCCTGCGCAGACATCAGGAGCATGAGTCTTTCCTTTTGTGACACAACGGGCCTTCTTCTTGGAATCGGCTGAGGAGCCTCCTTGCCCTTCCTGTAAGGCTTCTTTGTCATCTGCTAATAAGAGCCCGATTCCTTTGCTTCCTTCGGAACGAATCTGGGATTTGTCTTCCTGCCAATAAAACACGTTGTTTATTGTTGAGGAGGCCTAGAGTCTAATTGAATGATTCTGCTGGCCCTTTGTTCCGCGCACAAGCTCTGATGGTGTTACACACCCCGTAGGTGATGGTCTGATTTCTAACCGCTGCAGCGGCTTTGGCAAGTTGTCGGTGGGTGACCTTTTTTTCTTGGTCTTGAGTTGCGCCTGCGACCCTCGGAACTGGAGAACATATTATTTTTCATTTTGGATGTGGCAACAACATTGATTCCTGCAGACGACATGGGGACATCACAGCAATTTCGTCAAGACCGAACGGAACTTGACAGTGATCAACGAAAGTCATATCACGAAATGTGTCTGATCGAAGTGCACTTGTTCTACTTCTAGCTGCGTGGTTGTAGATAGATTTTGGCAAGTGAAGCGCCAGAGTTCGAAATTGAATTGGGCTCGTGTTCATGTAATGATGCTGGAGGGTGAAGCTGCTTCAACTTTTCTGGCTGTGACAATCGGCAAGTTGGCTCAGTAACTGATGCTGCAGGGGAATCTGGCGCAGTGGTCGACTGACCCTTTTGTAGATTTACCCTTTTGTCGACTGACCCTTTTGTCAATTATCCAGAGGTGTCCCGCAGGTTTGCCTGCAAGGTTGGTTTCCAATTGTCCTCAAGCTAAATCAATCAGGTGTGTGGTACGTTGTTGGCCGATCTTATCTGGATCTATTGGACATTCCTTCAATTTCGTTAGTACAAACAGCGCCCGTTCGAGGCATGATATGGGTTTGAGTGAGTTGTTGTTTGTTCTTCTTTCCAAGAACCGGTCCTGCTTCAATCACTGCGATTTTTTGGAGTTGCTGCGTCCTCCTTTCGCTGAAGCTTGATGCTTTCATCATCATCGACGACATGCGTGAGGGCTTTCACGATCTCTCACCATTCATCAACATTGCGTCCGGCGCCTCTACACATGCCAAAAACTTCACATGTGATCTTGTCACACTGTCATGTACAAGTTCCTCATTTCACCATCGGCAGAATGTCCCTAAGCTGATTGTCTATGGCAAAGATGAAGCTGGTGTCTGCCGGAACGTACTCATGGGAGATCAGGTTCTTCATCGCAACGATGGCCGCAAGCCAGCTTCTGACCTGGCGCATCCGTTGTTGAGGGTTGTCTGGCGTGTTTATGACCGGCGCCGCTAGCTTTGTCGCTTGCGGTCGTCGCTCAGAGGTTGTGAGCAGAGACTGTGTCGTGGATTCGCTTCTTGTCCATGGCTTCATCGTCCTGATCCTGAAAAGCATCATGACTTGCCTTGAGATCATCGCGTCGAGCGCCAGCACCTTTCACTCCAACCCCATGATGGATTCCCGTCCTGATCACTCCAACTAGCACATGACGGCTCTGAGAGGTGACTGCTGATTGGCGGGTTGTTCCTCAGATTTCTCTGCGGCAACAGTGAATGTTTTGGACTGTCCTTTGTCTTTTCCGCCTTTTCCTTTTCCGTCGTTGTAGGATGGATAACCTTTGTTTGCATCGAAGAAGTTCTGACGCTTGTGCTTTCCTTTCTTTCCTTTCTTTCTATCATTTCTTCCAAAAACCTTCAATCTTCATCCTCAACCCAAAAACCGAAGACGTTCGTGAACCTCGCGCCGGTCGAAGCGCTCTGGCCTTCTTTCGAAGATCTGGTTGTGGTGAAGAGGTCATGCTGCTGTGTCTTCAGCATCGTATATGTGCAGCGTTCCTGTCTCAAAGACATTGCGCTGATCAGTTTCCCCTGCTGATCTGAGAGTTCACTCTGAACGATGAAGAACTGTGCAATGAGGTTTTCATTGAGTGGAAACGCGTCACGGTGTCTCTGCTGCATTCCATTGGCACACTGCGTCGTCGTCCGGGTTGGCGCTCCAGCCTGAGTCGCGCGCTGCGGGGCTCTTCCCTGACTAGCATCTTGCGCGTTGGAGATAACTTGGTGATTGCGCCGGGGGCATCAGATCATTCAACGCTGCCTTTAATCTGCTCTCAAACTTGGCAATGCGTGTCTCCAGCGATTGAAGAAACTGAGTAGTCCATACAAATACACAGGCCAGGGGCTTTTCCGAAGATGAGGGTGTAGTTCAATGAGAGGGCTGGGCAAAAGCTTGACAAATTCAAGCCAATCAAGAGACAGGCTTGTTCGGGTCGTGCGCCTCTAAGACTTTCTGAAACGCGAGACAGATACATGGACATGCGCGTGTGCCACAAGATGCAAATAAGGCTTGACCATTCTTTGGTTCATCTCCCAGCCTGCGCGTCACACAATGCTCAGTTGCGTCATTTACTCCCTTCATTTTCCTGTCATTCCTTCTTACGTCCGTCTCGTTTCCCCTCATTTCCGTTGGTCTCTCTTTCATTTCCACATTTTCCCTTCATATCCTCTTCCTTTCCCTTTTTCCCCAATCATTTGCCTTTGTTGTCCTTCTATTTTTTCGACTGCCTTCCGTTTCCCTCTGTTTCCCTTTCGTTTCCGTTTATTTCCCTTTCATGTCCCTTGATTTCCCTTTCATCTCCCTTGCTTTTGTTATATCGCCCTTCATCTCCTGTTCACTTGCCCTCTCTTTGCCATAATGTTTCCATTTCGTGTCCTGCCTTTCGCGCTCCTTTCATCTCCCAATTAGTTCCCTTTCATCCTTTGAAACCCACATCCCCTTACATTTTTCCTCGCTTTCAATTCATTTTCCTACGTTGCCTTTGCTCATCATTCGCTTTGCAAGACTTAGCGTTGCCTTATGCGCTTTTTCATTTTCATTTCCCTTTCATTCCCTTCATGTCCCTTTCATTTTTTATTTCCTTGCACTCCCTGTATTCCTTGCGTTTCCTGTCAAATCCTCTTCATTTCCCACTATTGTCCTTTCATTTCCTTGTGTTTCCTTCCCCTTCATTTCCGTTCATGCTCCTTTCATTTTTCCTGCGTTTGCCTTTTCCGCCCCTTCATTCCCCTTGACTTCCTCCATTTTCCCCACTGCGCAGGCGCAGAGGTGTCTTGCCTGGCAGGCGGGCGCAAGCGTTTGCACGAGCGTCGTTTTCATTGGCCCTGTCGCGCGAACGGCTTGTTTGGGCGAGATTGAAATGTTCCAAAGCCGGTCGAGATCGCAATCCCCTGCTAGTTTTGGACACGTGTGATAAACGTGTCAAGGTTGGATTTCCTGACCGGTGAGCGAGAATTAGTGTGAGCGCGAGTTGCGTGAGAGTGAGCGAGTGAGTCTGAGTGTGGGTGTGAGCCTGGGTGTGGGGGTGAGCTTGCGGGTGGGTGTGAGATCTGTGAGAGTGAATGTGAGTGGGGGTGCGGGTGTGTGTGTGTGTGTGCGTGGGTTGCAGAGAGAGAGAGAGAGAGAGTGTGTGGGTGAGTGGGTGAGTGGGTGGGTGGGTGGGTGAGTGAGTGAGTGGGTGACGGCGAATGGTGTGGGAGCTGCAAGTGTGAGAGTATAGAGTGAGTGTGAGAGTAAGTGTGAGTAAGCATGCGTGAGTGAGTGAGTGAGTGAGTGAGTGAGTGAGTGAGCGAGCGAGCGAGCGAGTGACTGTACACATTTGGGAACAAGAAAAGAAGCAAAACAAAAAGAAAGAAAGAAGGAAAGAAAGAAGGACAGAAGGAATGAAAGACAGGAAGAAGGAAGGAAATAAGCGAAGAACAGAAGGACAGAAGGAAGGAAAAACAGACAGACAGACAGAAAGACAGAAAGACAGAAAGACAGAAAGACAAAAAGACAGAAAGACAGAAAGACAGAAAGACAGAAAGACAGAAAGACAAAAAGACAGAAAGACAGAAAGACAGAAAGACAGAAAGACAGACAGAAAGACAGAAAGACAGAAAGACAGAAAGACAGAAAGACAGAAAGAAAGAAAGAAAGACAGAAAGACAGAAAGACAGAAAGACAGAAAGACAGAAAGACAGAAAGACAGAAAGACAGAAAGACAGAAAGAAAGACAGAAAGACAGAAAGACAGAAAGACAGAAAGAAAGAAAGAAAGACAGAAAGACAGAAAGACAGAAAGACAGAAAGACAGAAAGACAGAAAGAAAGAAAGAAAGAAAGAAAGAAAAAAAGAAAGAAAGAAAGAAAGACAGAAAGAAAGAAAGAAAGAAAGAAAGAAAGAAAGAAAGAAAAAGAGAGAGAGAGAGAGAGAAAGAAACAAAGAAACAAAGAAAGAAAGAAAGAAAGAAAGAAAGAAAGAAAGAAAGAAAGAAAGAAAGAAAGAAAGAAAGAAAGAAAGAAAGAAAGAAAGAAAGAAAGAAAGAATGCCGACGCAGCAACACGCACCTCGCCGCAGCAAATCTGCAACAAGCTCGTCATGGCCGTTGGCAGCTGCCCAGTGCAGCGCCGAGCCGCCCGTAAAGTCTGCAGCGTCCAGGCCAGCACCAGAGTCGCAAAGAATGTCCTGAGCTCAGTTTTCAACATCTGTAACAGAGCTCAACTCAGAGGAGCTTAAACTTAAGCAAGGGTCCCGAGGCGGGGGGGGGCTTTCTGTGTCCCGGCTCAAAGATCAAGGAAAGCAAGCCAGGACAAAGATCTGTCAACTGCCTGTTTTAATGTTTTCGCAAAAATGGGACCTCTCCCAAGTGCACGTGTCTAGAGCTGCTGGACAATGACCAGCTCAGAGCTACAAGAACACGCTGAAGACAAACTTCCTGAAAGGCCAGACGGACAACTATAGGAGCAGCATGGCCAATCCACACCGTGCGAATCTGAGGACGGCCTTTCTGTCCCTTCAAGAGCGGTTGCCGAATGCAGGTGCCTTGGTCTGGTTGATCCGCGATAAAGACCCCGCAGCACTACAGCTCTGGAGCTGTGTGAGAAAAGGGCAGCCATGAGCGGCAAGCATGCTTCCATGCACGGTAGCGGCTGTGGAGATGGCGTCAAGCAACAGCACTGCGGTGCAGCAAAGGCCTTCAGCTTTGAAGCCGTGGGTTTACCGAAGGCATATCAGCCCAGAGCACAAACACCTGGAACAGGGAGGGTGGGCTGCAAAGACGTGTTGGAGCTGTCAAGCTCTGTTTGCTTGCGCGCTCTCCAGCATGAGGTTCAAGTCCACCCAGCAAAACCAAAACAGGGCATCTTCTTGGACGGGCATGCGCGCTTGGGGTGTGACAGACAGTTGCAGTACGGCCAGCGTGCTGAAAGCGCCTCGTATGTCCAGTGGGAACCAGCAAGACGCAGAATTTGCGTGGAGTGGAGAATGCTTTAGCCGGCGTCCAATGGCAGAGCCTCGCTGAAGAAGAAAGCTCTATCCAGCACACTGCCACTCGCCGCCGCAGGACCCTGAACTGCAGCACCTACCACCGAAACACAACCAGCAATGCCGAGAAGGTTAGGCCTCAAAGGATTCGCTGGCAATCGAGGCTTAGAAATCACTAAGACATGGCGCGCGCACGATTTCAACAAAGAGGGCATGTGACCAGCAGTTTGTGGAAGCCAAGACGCTTGAACGTCAGCCGTGGTTGGACAGCGAAGTTGCGACCGTGTAAACCAGAACACCCAACGTTCTTGGTAGATACCAGAAAACTCAGAACAGCATTTATGTCCATGAAACAAGTGCTGCGGAAACAGAGCAGCGGTGGGCTGATCGCCCTGTGAAACCGGAGGCCCCGCTTCCACCGCCCCACCCCCCTCCCCCCCCCAATGTCATACTCCGCTAACAACGAAGCAACCAATCAGCAACCCAGCCTCACACCGTGCCGCTGACGCGGCGACGACCAACTATCACAGCCGAGTCACCGCACTCTTGCGGTCGCCTACCCGCGCAGCAATGTGCAGAGGAGAAGTTCCATCTTCACCAGCAGCCGTGGCGGGCACTTTGCGCTTGGTCAACACTTCCGCCTTGTGGGTGCCTCGGTCTTGGACACAAGACATGTCCAGGTCTTGGACACAAGATTTCAACAGTACAAATTAGGGCCCCCGGGTTACTCTTGTCTCTGCAAGAAAAAATGCCAGCGAAATGATCGACGCTTGTCAATTTTGCTCTTCTTTTTTTTTGCGGAGCTCCCCGGCCCGTCCTCCAGCTCTCTTGCCCAGCGGCATGCAAGAACATCTCCGAATCGAATCAGCACTTCTCCAGGCAGCGGGGGCTCGATCGAGCTTCGCACCTTCCACAAGCAGGCAGAGATGTTTGCCTCCCTGCATCATGTTGAGAATAGCTTTCCCCGAAACACACGGCTTGTTCTTTCAGAGAACACCTGTAGGAAATCTGTGTACCAAGCTCTTTGTTGCGATATCCGCGAAGGTTCAACTCGTCAGCTGCTTTGACATTTGCTCGGTGGCAAGTAAATGAGGGTCAAAGACTCATCAACCGCAAAGATGGCTACAACTCCACCAACTGGACTTGAGCTCATGACCCTATGAACTTACTCCAGCGAACGGATAAACTACGTCATCAAGCCCAAATGAAGCGCTTTACGCGCGGTAACAAAAACGCACGCAAGGCAAGGTGTCCAGACTTGCCTTGCGCAGTTTTGCTGCGTCGGGCGCCTTGGCTTTTGGAGTTGCTCATGTGTGCATTGCCCGACCTCGGTACTGCCAACATCCGCCCTCATCTGCACCAATGCCTGCACCACACCTCGCGCGCTCCACGAATGGCGGCAAGGCCAGCAATTCTGAGAGAACTTCGCCAGGGTAAACAACAGCAAATAATATGTCAAACAAGCAAATAAATCAATTTTAGATTGGATGTGTGACTCTGCTCAGAGGCGCACGGAGCCCGAAACAAAGGAAATGCGATTGCCCCTGCAACACCCGCAAGTGGAACATCCTGCCTGCGTGCTTTCCACGAGCTGCCCAGTGAAGAGGCTGCCCAGGGAGACTTCCCAAAGACATGGCGCTCACATCAGCACGCGCGGCCACCAGCTCCTGCAAGATGTCAAGCGTTCAAGGCACCTTTTCGCCGAACGCATCGGGTGATGAATTGGGCTTGTTTTGCGGAGGGTTTTTGTCGTGTTGCAAGACCCCGCGGTGTATGTGTCACAGTCGCAGGATTTGCAAACATGCTGCGAACGATCCTAACCCGAACTGAGCGGGGCTGCCTTCTGTTTTCGCGCGGTCCTTGGCCACGGCCCTGTGACCCTGCATGGCCGCCCAGTGCAAAGGGCTTGCGTCCTGCTTATCTCTTGCGCCTGGCTTGGGCGCGTAGGCTGCGCAGCACAGCATCAAAACCCGAAGCACATCCCACCCTCCCGTCCAAGGCCAAGCCCGCCCGCGCTGACCAACTAACTCAAGCCGGATAGATATCTAGAGCCAAGGAAGACCGAACTGAAAAACAGACACGACCTGGTTTGCGCCAAGGCACACGGGTCGCAGAACTCCAAGAGCAGGCGCACCTGGCAACCCAAAACTATTTGGCAAAATCTCTGTCCTAACGGCTGAGTTGGTGCTGAGGCGCCGCATCCAAGTGACCGCCAGATGCGGCGTTGTGCAGCGGCGTCTGCCCAGAGCTGTCTGCGACACAATCTACGCCTACCAGTCAGAATGACAGGCGAATCAGGCAAGCCCCTAGCCTTCGCAACAATTTACATACCAGCAAAGCCGGCAGACCGAGTGGTTGCAAGTTTCAAAACAAGAAACTCGCGTTAGGGGTTTCTGCCTTTCTGTCTGTGGAGCTACCTGCGAACAATCTGTTTGCTAGTTTGTCTTTGTCAAGCCAGCACTGAAGCTACCTGTCTGTCCACCTACCCGTCTGTCAATCTTCCATCTTCAAGCTGCTATGTCAGTCTGTTGAGCTATCTCTGTTCAGCTACCTGAGTTACCTGTTTGTTGGGCGACCCACCTGTCGCTATCTGTCCTCCTAAGCCGACCTGTCCGTCCAGCTGTCTGGCTGTTGCCTTTCAAGCCATTGGCCCCCCCACGTGAACCATTCGAGGTCTCCGAGCTATTCTTGTGTCGGGCTCTTGGCGACGCCCAGATGACCTACGCTTCTGGCCAATTTAGCTATCTGCGACTACCTCGCCATCCCTGCTTTGCGCGGCGCGCAAACGGTCCGAGAAATAGGTGCCAAAAGTAGCCGAGAAAGTAGTTCTCGGGATTTGCCCCGGCAGGCTACACGTTTTTGCCGTTTGCTCTCAGGCTGGTGGGTGAAGCGTTTCCATTTTAAGGTCGTCAGCCTACGCTGCAACACAAAGCCCAAATCTATCATCTCAGGAGGAGCATGCCGCCCTGCCTTTGCTCAGCAGCAGCTCCACCACCTCAGCGTGGCCACGCGTGGCGGCCTCCTGCATGGCAGTCCTGCAAGAGCCGCGCCTGTGATTGCCCCTTATGTATTTTTGCGCTATGTTTTTCGGGTTGGGGTGAGCTCTCCATGCGCAATGCTGCTGGCCTGGCATCTGGCGACTGCGCCAACCTGAGTAAACCATCTACCACACAACCTTGATACATTGCCAGAAGGCCAACAGCGACAAGTCACAGCTTATAGCTCAGAGACCAAAGCAAAAACCAACAAAATAGACCACGGAACCCAAACAATTTAAAGCCAGACCTTGTGAAATGCAGCTTTCAGCAGCGTGCCACCCCGTGAAAGGCCCAATTGAATGTGATCCCTGGGGGTGGCTGACCACAACTTGATCGAAATCTTGGAAGAGTTCATCGACTACCGCTGTAGGAACATCACTGATGAAGATCGTGAAATCTTGGCGCTCGTAATCCTTGAAGGCTTCGTCTACTTCTGCTCTGACTGGCCTCACCGATCTGCTCGCATGGTTCGTGGCACGCGGTTGCGGTTTGGCGGCCTCAGGGTATCGACTTGCTTGGGGCACGAGGTTGCCTACGTTCGAGCATGTCGGGGTGCGAGGTCGGCTGGCAACTCCTCGCGTTCCAAGGTGGTTCGGGCTTGAGGTCCTGGTCGATTAGGTCGAGGTTGGGAGGCACTGCCTTGAGATTGCGCAGCAACCGCCTTGAGGCCAGACTTCGGCCGCCCTTTGCGCTATTCTCAGCTGGGAAGCTTCTGCCCTTTTCGCTTCTTCGTTCAAAGCAAACGGGCAGACACTCGAACTCCTCATTTTGCATCTACCGTTCAAACAACACGCCGCTGCCAGCGTCACCTTCCACACCGTCAGATATTTGCCCTTTCGTCTTCTTTGCTCCTTCCCCGTTGTGTTTTCTCAGGACGGCGCCAGTGCCTGCGCCCTGGCAAACACTGTGGTGGAGTTGCGGGCCGGCGTTTTAACAAGCGGGCGCGCAGACACTTTGCAGCGCTGGCGCTTCTCGCTGGCATAGACTGCGAACACAGGTTCTCAGCTATTTATTTGGCTTGCAACTCCGCCTGAACGGCTGAGCTGGTCAAGGACGCAAGCTTCAGTTTGCCAAGCGCTGAAATCAGCATTCTTGCGAGCGATGCAATATCTTGCGACTGGGAAATGCCCCCCTCCCGGAGTTCCTAAGTCTGTGTCCCAGCTGCAGCACCCGTGCGCAAGTTTTCAATTTACACCTTTCGCCTCTGATGGGTGGTCAGGGCCTGCGCAACCTGAGTTGCAGGCATTCCAGGCACAATCTGGCTTCTGACGGCGAAGGGCCCGAGACTGCAGGCAGAACAGACAGAACAGTGAGAGAGACCCAGGCATTCACTGCCACAACCTCACTGTGGCATTGCAGACTCCGACATTTGGATCTGCTGGGGTTTGTATTTCGGGAGTGGCCTGCCGTTTTCGTAGGGGTGAAGAAACAAGTGGCCGGGCCAACTCGCCAAAGCCATCGCAGAATGCGGTGAGAAATGTCATTGACAAACGCCGCTTGTTGAGGCGCACTTGCCATTGCCAGCGACTGCCCCCTGGTCTGCGTACAAATTTCAAAGCGCAAGCGGGCCAAAAACAACTGCTCCAAGCTGGACAGCGCTCCTTTTAGGTCGGCTATGTCCATGAGGCGTCAATGTTACCATTCATGGGCATCTTGGTGTTCTGTGGGGGCTAGGTGCGAGAGGGTGGTCAAATAATCTGCGGACTTGGCATCAGGGTTGAATCGACAGCAACGCAGGCCAGATTATCCACGGACCTGACATCAGTTTTGACACAACAGCAACACTAAAGGATTTGGCCCGGCGCGCGCTCCGTGAGAAAGGTTCATCGGCAAGGCGGCCCTTCCTGATTGCACGCTGGCCTGTGTTTTCCACTTGACGAAGACCTTTGCGGGGAGAAGCTGCTTAAAGAAGTTGGCCGCACCAAGAAAATATCAACTTTGATCATCCGCGACGACAGGTACCCGTTGAATCAGAGCTTGGGATCTTCAATCAGGGCGCTCTTGAGTCGAACTGTTGGATGACGTGTCTCCTGAGCTGTAGAGGTAGGGTTGGCTGTTCTGTTGAAGTCGCCGGTCTTGATGTTGCATTGAAACTTGCCAATAAGTGGAGGAATTCGTTACCCATTTCTGTCGCGACTGCTTGTGGCTTCCTGCCTGTGTTGGGCGCCCATCGTATGGCAACTGCGACTGCTGGAAGACCTGATCTGTCGGCATGATTCTGATTCTACTGACTCCAATCATCACGATCTGATCTCCTTAGTTGAGTTGATTGCGCTCCCGACTGTGCGCTCAAAATCTCCATCTACCACTCCGAAATAGCACCTGGAAACGCCTGATGCTCTCTCGGTGCAACCGCTCTCTTGCCAAATTAAGGCACGCTTGGCATCGGAATCTTGGGAACTGCTTGCAGCACGTTTCAGGGGTTCTGGTGTCACAAGGTTGCAAGATGTCCCATTTGGGCAACTTGGTCTCAACAAACTGCTTGTTTTATGCCCTGATTCAGCGCTGTTGCTTCCTTTCCCTTCTCCCAAAAACTGTTGAAGCACTCGAAGTCTTCGGACCCTTCTTCTGAGGTACATCAACGACTGCGAGCGAAGAACCCACGCCAGACCTGGTGCATCATTGAGCCGCGCGGGCCTGCAGAGTCGACTTCACGGAAAACTTGCGGCTCGTTCTGGCGGAAGGTTGGCACCAAGATCAAGGAGGCGTTCCATGCGCCATGGCTGGGTCGCAGCGACGCTGACCCGACTTCCGCTTCCAGACCTTTCAACAACTTCGCCGGCGCTGATTTCAAGTGGGGGCTGAGCACCGGCTTAGGTTGGTGTAAGTTTCTGAAGCTACCATAAGTTCCAACCACGCTGCATCGCGCGCGAACGCATCCTGTCAGATAATTATCTTGCATCCTCGCGTATTCTGGTCGTAGACTAGACTATGACCGCCGTACCAACAACAGAGCGAAAGCAAACACACAGAACAAAGCGAAGGACCAGCAAGTGCCTGGCGGTGCAAAGAAAACGAACCTCAAGACCGGACCGAGAAGCTCAGGTGATAGTCCCACAATGGCCAGAACTGCGAAACCGCCCTGTCGGCGCACTTACCCTCCCCGCAACCTTGGACGCCCCCATAGCCTGGCAATCTAGGCAAAGACCCCAGCAAAAGGCTGCCGCAAGAGTAGCGGTCGCAACCCAAAAAAAAGTCGCAGTTACAAACATCTGTGATTATGCCCTCTTCGGCCCTCACTACCGCGCCAAGAAGCTGCCCAACACCCAGCATGTATCGCACAACTTCCGCGTGGCCCTGCGCCGCTGCTCCTGCCAGCGCCGGGCGGCAAAAGCTTGGGCCTGGGCGTCGGCAGGTCCGTAGACAAGAAATCTGAACTGTTTTTTGGCAACACGCTTGCTGGACTTGGGGGTGATGCCACTGGTAACCTTGAACTTGTCAACATGCGCGTCCAGCATGTCTTTCACAAACATTCGCTCTCAAAACGCTTCGGCTTGCCTGATTGCGCTTTGCAAGACGAGCGCCTTGCTGCAAAAGCTAACAACTCCTACATAGTGCTTGCAGTTGGTGTTTAACGAGCTTGCGTAGTTTGCCACGAGTCCCAAACTCAAACGCTCATTTTGCGAAAACGAGCCCCCAAACCCGACATAATTTTCAGCCCCTAGCTGCCACTGAAACGCTCCTCATGTCAACCATTGGCAGGGGCCTTTCTGTCTAGTCGGCAGTTGGGCGACTGGTGTGTCTGCTGGCTGCACCTGTCTCTGAAAAGATTTGTGGCAGGATGCTGCAGACATAAGAGAAAATAGATAGTCTAAATACCGGACACTTATATAGTCAGAACTTCGTATTCTACTAGGCAACAAAAAGCCACAAACAAATAAGCACAAAAAAAGAAAGGGAAAAGAATACAAAGATACAGCTTTAAAAATAAGCTCAAATGATATCCCCAACAGCATGCCGTGCTCTGTCTTGTGCTCGCACCACCCCGCAACCCTCGCAGAACCTTGTGAAACCCTGGTGGAACCCTCGTGGAATCTTACCTCAGAGAAGAAATAAAACAAAACTAACAAGTAAAAAGGAGCCAACATGATGTACAAAGCTTGCAAAGAGCCTGCCCTTCAGCAGAAGAACCGCCGCAGCCGGGTGAATCAATAGTTGCGGCTTTCGAGCTGGAGCCGCGGAAGTGGCAAGCACTTTTCTCTCGTCGCAGACTGGCGAGGGCCTGCGACACATAGCACAAGACAGCACCTGGTGCAATAAAATACGCGTCTGAGCAGCTTGAGTTTAGGCTGATGGTTCCAGTTTCATGCAATTTCCATTGCTACATTTGGGTTGCTGGTTTGGAGGGGCCGTTGTTGGTAGTTTGCGCAGGGCCGCTTCTCCATTGAGTTTGGGTTGCTGGTTTGGAGCGGCCGCTTGTTTCATGTGGTTCGGGTTGTGTGGAGGGGCCGCGGAGGGAGCCGGTTGCTGTTTTGATTGGTTGTGTGGGGGGGCCGCTTCTTTCCATTGGTTTAGGAGGTTGCTGGTTCGCTTTTCAATTTACTGTAGTTTGGGTCGGTGGTTTGTGTTGATCTCATTTGGGAATTTGTATTGGTGAGTGCTGTGCCACTGTGTATGGTCTTACTTTCGGATTCCAATCATGCCCAGGCTGCGGCTGGTTCCGGGGGTGAGGAATTGGCTAATTACACTCGTGTATGCACAATCAATGTCATCAGATCTTTAAATTATAGGCAAGGAAGGAAAAACACCGGGCCCCTCAAATCCTAGTTCCTGATTTGGGGAGACCAACAATGTTCAAACTGTTAATATCGCAGGAGTGATGTTCCTTTTCTGGGGGGGGGGGGGAACCCCAAAGTTCAAAACCCCAGGTCCCAAAAGTGGACGTTTCTTTCTGCAAAGTGATGTTTCTATACATGGGGAATCAAACAGCAGTTCCAAAGAATCAAGTGTGTGTCTTTTTGCCGCAAGTGGATTTGTCTGGGCCTGTCACTGGCCTGCTTGGTCGGGCTGCTGATTTTTGTGAAGTTGGATTTTTGTAGTAAAGCTTCTAGTTTGATTATTGTGTGTGGCTGCCATAATCTTTTGTTGCGCAGGTGGGTTTTTGTTCAGGGCCTGTCGCTGGCCTTGTTGGCCTGCTGCTCTTGACGAAGCTATACTTTTTTCGAACCGCTTCTGGTTTGCTCATTGTGTGTGGCTGCCTTTTTGTGCATTTCGTGATTTTCAGGGCCCGTCATTGGCCTGCAAGTAGGATTTCCATTTGGCTTTTAGATTGCTTGTTGTGTGTGCCTGCTTGGTCGGCTTTTGCTGTTTCTTAAGTTGGACTTTTTGTTTGTGGAGTTTTCGGGCTGCTGCCTTGATGATGTTGGATTTTCCATTCTTCTGGCTTGCGTGCTGGGTGTGGTGTGAGGGATGAACACAGCCAAATAAACACAAGAGGCAGGAGGTCCTTTGCAGGCAACAAGCACTTTGTTGACAACGATGGCCAGTTCAGGTCTTCCGCCTCTGCTGGTCACCGATTTCACAAGGCAGTACTCATTCCTGTACATTGATCTCAAAAAATATAATAGTGACATGTAATGGGATGTCTGCCGCAGACTTGAAATTGCATCCGCTCAGCGCCGGTTCCAGTTGCGAGAGCTCTTCCATGGGCGCTGCCCCAGTAGAAATGGGTCCATTGCCAATCTTGCCACTGGCTGCCGGTTTCCCGGAGCTGAAGGATGGGTTTGCTCGTCACTCCGGTGTGCGATGAATGGGATTTCGCTCTCCATGTTTTACATCCTCTTGAGGTGGCACCAGCGTTAGCCGTGCAGCATACTTGGGCACGGCAACGATCCCCTTGATCATCTCCTTCGTCCGTTCGCAGCTGGGATGGTGCAACGGGGCCACCTTCTCGATGAATTCGAGAGCCGAGGGCGTCAGGTCTCCCCGAGCAGCCGTGTACGCGTAGAAGGGGTTGTTGATAAGACGCTCGTGCAGGGTTCCGTACTCCTTCTTCCTGAGCACGGCCTTTTTCGCGATGTCTTTCATGATTCCGAGCCCTCCCCCTGCGCTACGGTCGCCACGAGCATCTTTGTGCTGGGTGAGAATCTGAGTCTCGATCTGCTCCATCACGAGCGGGATGCCGATGTTGTTGGCCATCTCTTGAAGTCGAACGACTCGGGCGTTTTTTCTGACACTGAAAACAGTGAATGGAGCCGACTGGTTTCGATCCATTGCGCCCTTTGCAGACTTCGTCCGGAACGTGCATGACCTCCGCAAAGCGCCAGTTGCTTCTACTTGTTGGGGTCCAAGTCCTGCCAGAGACCGCTCCGGCCACGGGTCTCCCCCGACCTGTTGCTGCACAGCGCGGGCCCAGTTCCGATAGCGTAGCGAGCCGTCTCGAATTCCAACGCCCCCTGTTCGTTTTTTCGACAAGTTCTCGTCGACAATATCACTGCATTTCACAGGCTCACCGATGCGGCGGGGACGCATCATGCATTCTTTGTCGACGGATTCCATGAACGCGACGAGTGCTGGTGGAAACTCTGGCAGCTCTTGATGTCCTCCTGAGACTTTTTGATTCGCTCTTGGTAAGTGCGGCGGAGGCTGACACATACATTCTGTTTGTCCAGATAAACCTTGCGCACTCGCGTAATAGGCGTAGGTGATAGCCTTGTTAGTGACCCAGTCCTCCGTGACGAGGGCCTCCCCGTCTCCGGGTGCGTAAAGGCGGCCGCCGAGGCGAACCAGCATCTGGACATCGATGGCCATGTTGATGGGGCGATCGGCACTTGCAAATTCTGCTTTGCGCCCAAACCTATCTTAAGGTGGCACGACCGTTAGGTAGGCGTGGCCGCGAGAGGACTGCTTGTCGCCCATGCCACCAGGGAAGATGCCCATGTAGATGATGTCGAAAAATTCTGCATATTGCACGTATGATACGCGATCCTGGGCATCGCCTATCGGCGAGTTTCCGTGAAGTTCCTGCAGAACCCCGGTCGCACGCCGCCCTTGGCATGGTCCATGGTGTAATTCTCTTCCAAGGTGACGGGAACGACAGGAATGTGGCTGAAGCCTGTTTCACCCAGTCATTTTGACCTGTGATCGATCTGATCCTCAGCGGGATGACTTTCAGCCCGTTCCATTGCACACCGGGAGCCGCATGTTCGACGAAAACTTCAAAGCGCTTGAACGCGCGTGCTGCTTGGAGCAGAAGATACTGTGTGCAATGCCAATCATAGCGGCGTTGAATCCATTTGGCAACAGCGGGAAAGTCGAGCGAGCGGTCCTTCAGGTCAATCTACCTTGTGGCGTGTTCATGCGCATGGCCACGCGCAAGATAGGATATCTTTTTGCTGAGGAAAGTTCCATGGTCCGCAATCGGGGGAATACTGATCCCCGAACAGCTGATCCATTCCCGCTTCAGTTCCGTGGTGTGGGCACGGGTCTCCCGAGCTCAGTGGTAGCTTTGGGAGCTGCCTTCGCCTTTGGGGAAATTCCCTGGCCACGCATCTCTCTGGGCTGAGTCTTGCTACAGCTTGCCGCGGACGCCGGAGTCTTGTTGCTGAATGTGGCCGCTTGCTTCGGCATTGCCTTTGCCTTCATTTTGAGTGTTGCCGACAAGAGAGCCTCGTTAATCTTGTTCCTGCTCTTCGGCTTTGATGAGAGGAAGAGCTTGGTCTCACCATCTTCGCCGGCATCGCGAGGGTCAACCGCAACCTTCACGGCCTGGCCTTTCGGCCGGCTTGCCTTTGGCTGAAGGCCACGGGGCAAGTCCATGACGATGATTTCATCCTCGTTCTCCTCTTCCAAGAGGTCCACTTGAAGATGTCGTCCAGGCCGTGAATTTGTAGCTGCATGGATGTCGGGTTGCATCATTCTCAGCACCTTTGTTTCCTCCTTCCTCGAGAAATGCCTCCCATCTACGGCGCTTCACCCCAGGAAACTGGCGGTCCTGCCTCTGCGAAAATCCTGAAGATCCCTTCAACAATACGATGACGGAGTTGCAGGCGGTGAGCAGGATCGCGTCCATGGAGCCAAAGAGGGAACCGACGTGTCGAGGTCCATGTGCCCATCTGACCGATCGAGCGGGCCAGCTTCGCCGCAGCAACGAAGTAATGCAACGTCGTCGGTTCAGCTCGTTGTCATCGGTGTGAATCCGGTCCGATCTTGAGGTGTTGCTGATCAGAGTCTAGTGCTTCCGTCTGAATTGTTCCGCCAACCAAGCGGGACTAACACGTTGGGTTTTGTCCGTGTGGCGAAATGCTGGAGACCTACCACTCTCAAGAATACGTATAGTGGCTCGGTTGTCCTCGAGAAAAATGCCATCAAAAGAACCGTTGTTGATTTCCGAAATAATCAAAGTCCGTGAGGTTTTCCCTGATCTCTTTGCCTTCAATGTTAAGGTCGACCTCGCCAGCCCCCCCCATGAAGAAGTGTGTGTTGCCAATCCATGTGGAGTTGGTCTGCTGGTCTGAACCAATTTTTGGAGACGTTGAACCGTATACCTCATACTGGAGAAGGCCTCGGTCCTAACCGGGCTATCATCATTCTATGGAACAAATAGCAGATCCCTCTTCTTATTTTAGACTCTGAGTATGTGTCCCTCGGTGGTGTCACTTGTCCAAACGGAAGTCTTTGATGGGGTGAGAGTGCATGTTGGGTTGTCCCTCCACCCCCCGCTAACTGTATGACTTCCCGGAGGCAGGAAGACGGAATCCAACAGCACGCAAAGCAACAATTGCTGCAATCACCTCAGCTTCCTTGGGTGACATCGCTGTTGATGTCTGCTTCTTGGAGAAAGCAGTCAAGGGATAAAATGTATTCGGACCAATCAATGCAAGAAAGCATCCTGATGTACTGCGTGAATCATGTTCGCCAGCATGATCTGAGTCCGCAAATAGCCAAAGCCGGGTTTGCAATGAAGGGTCCGTGCGTCTTACGATCAACAGTGGAAGAGCGCTTGGTCACAGTCCACGGACCACTTGGTGACGCGAGAAGCCAGTCCCTGGGTCTCAGCACCTTCGTAAGGATTTTGGAGGCAATGGGTTGAAGAACGCCCTTTTTCTCCGTATCATCCTTAGTGGGTCTTGCAATGCGGTCGTCTTGAAATGGTGTGGATACCTTCTTGAACTTAGCGTCGCCCCCCGCAAGCTCAATATACCTGTCAAGGCGTTGCTGTAGGAACCCGGTCATGTCATAGGTGACCAGCGTGACAGGTTTATCCATGCAAGGTTGATGCTCGAACAGTTCATCTATATAAGAGAGCGGCTTTCTGCGCTGACGTTTTGTCCCTATCGTTCTTCATGGCCGCCGCCGCTAGGCGGGCATTACCAACGCTCTCATCAAAGAAATACGTGGTCCCCACCCATAGAAAAGGAACAGTTTGCACATGCTCATCATCCTCGTCGAAATGCCAATACTGTTGAGCAGCACCATCCTTGTCAAAACATGGATTGCGTTCTGTGTGCCGCACCCCACCCAATCCAATTTCTTTGGCAACACCGTTAGGCGTGCGGCGAAACTTTCGCCTTGGTTGCTCATGTTGGCAAACAACCACGCCATTTTCTGAATAGTGTTCCCAAGAATCCTGAGTGCGACGAGCTGCAGCATTGGCCAGTTCGAAAATTAACACATACACCCTTGGGAAATCCGGAACAGCAGGATTGTTCGATGGAGTCCGGCCACGTGCCGTCGTGTTGCTCGACATTGCATCCCTCAGATGAACAATCTTCTTCTCCAAATGATTGCTCGCTGCTTCGACCAGGAAAGGTAGGAGTGCTTCTCCGTTCCCTCCTCCGCCCGTTCATATTCATTGAGGTCATGAGTGAGGGGGCGGTGCTTCCTGATCTGCCTGTGGAACAGTGCCTCGAGGGTCTTCTCATTCTGCTCGTTGCCCATGCCAGCAATGACTGTATCCCATCTGGTCATGAGATTCTTCAAGTCTTCGTTGATGAGCTGAACAGAAAGCAAATCCTCGATATCATAAATAGCACCATACTTGATGTTCGTGCTGAAATGTTCGGGAACCATGTAGAGAATCTGTCGGCCTCTCGCGTATCTCTTCTCCTTAGCCTCTTGGTCTTTGAAGATGTCGACTTGCCGCCTTCCAAGATGTTCGTGCAAACTTTGCGTCAAGATGAATAAACATGCCTGAATCACGAAGGACTTCAATCGTCTGACCATGGATCCAAGTTGCCTCAATCCACTCAAATGCCTTTTCGGGTTGATCGGAAGTAGCAACAACAGCATCCCTAACTTTGATCCTCCAATTGCGGTACTGTTCGGGTTTCGGAAAACGGGGGATATGAATTCGATCACCTTCCTTTACACGAACGCGTTCCGTTGTCGGATCGCCGGGAGAGCCTAAATGCTTCAGTAGCTTTCGTCGAAACGGCTCATCACACGCTGTAGACGATGAGGATGAGGAGGGTGAAGGGGAAGATGCTGGATCCCGTCGCCTCTGTCGGCTTCGGTCCTTCTTGCTCTTCTTCTTCTTTTTCTTCTTCTTGTCCTTCTCATCTCCGTCATTTCCATCATCACCGGGACCACCGTTTCCCACGACCCCGGCGGGAACGGATCCATCTTTGCCGTAGGGGTCGCTCCCGACCTTCGTCCAGCTGTGCGAAGAAGCAGAGGAAAGTCCGGGTGGACATGCAACCACGGGTGCTCGGGGTGCAACCAAAGGAGTTGCCGGCGCTTGCTGGGGGAGCAGTTTGGGCCGGCTGTTGTTCTGATTGTTCATCATCTGCTCAACCATCGCCCTCAGCTCTTGGATCTGCTTCTCCTGATCTCTGATGGTGTTCATGGCACTGCGATCTTCATCTCGGCGTCTCTCTCAGATTTTAGAGTGTTGGCACGTTGTTCCGCATTCATCTGGATTTCCCCCTTGTAGCATCAGATTGGCTTTGAAGTCCAGCAATGATCTCGCTGCGTCGTGCTTCTGAAACCTGAGCCACCTGCTGATAGTTCGTCACCTCTTAATTGACTGTCATCGAAGGATCGAGGTGAACATTGGCTCATGGACTGTGGCACAGGTTCCCCCTTGCAAGGTTGGACTGAGGGACATACATGACGACGTCACCACGCCGATGCCGATCGGGAGATCGAGCACCAGACGGCTCAGGCCTTCCTCGGTCGCTCCTGGACTGAAGCGATTCGGGGCCTTGACTGCCCAAAGCTTGTCCCTTCGCGCGACTTGTAGGCGCATAGTGCGAGGTATCATCGCCCGCATGCTCATCAGGAATAGGAAGCACCTCAGTATGGGGGACTCCAGGGTGAGCCGCTTACGGCTGATAACCTACAGAACAGGTTAAACAACCTAGAAGGGTCAACATTCAACCCTGCGATAAGCGCGCTTTTCTTGAGCCATGCGTAGCGAGTATAACGAAGCGACGCTAGTGAGACACTCATGCAATTGAAGTTATGAGGTTGGTAAATACATCACATGGTAAAATACAGCTTCTAATTTGCTTGTTTGTGGCTGCCGCTTCTTTGTGCAGTTGGATGTTGTTAAGGGCCTGTCGCTGGCCTTCTTATTCGGGCTGTCGCTTTTCGTGAAGTTGGATTTTCCATTCTTCTAGTTTGTTTGTTGTGTGTGGTTGCCACGTTTGTTGCGCAGTTGCGGTTTTTCAGGGCCTGTCACTGGCCTGCGTGGTCGGCCTGCTGCTTTTTGTAAGTAGGATTCTTCCATTGGGCTTCTAGTTTGCTTGTTGTGTGTGGTTGCATCTAGTTTGCTTGTTGTGTGTGGTTGCCATAATGTTTGTTGCGCAGTTGCCTTTTTTTCAGGGGCTGTCACTGGGCCTGCTTGGTCGGCCTGCTGCTTTTTGTCAGTAGGATTCTTCCATTGGGCTTCTAGTTTGCTTGTTGTGTGGTAGCCATGTTTTTTGTGCAGTTGGTTTTCAGGGCCCGTCACTGGCCTTCTTGGTCGGCCTGCTTCTTTTTGTGAAGTGGGATGTTTCCATTGGGCTTCTAGTTTACATGTTGTGTGTGTGGCTGCCGTGTTTTTTTGTTGCGCAGTTCGTTTGTTTTTTAAAGGGCCTGTCATTGGCCTGCTTGGTTTGCTGCTTTTCGTCAAGTGCGAGTTTGGTGGTAGAGTTTCCTTGCTTGGCCTGCTTGGTCAGGCTGTTCCTTTCCTGAAGTGGGATTATTTTTTGTCGTAGGGCTTCTAATTTGCCTGTGGTCTTTGCCTGCCTGTTTTCTGCAGATGTGGTTGGCAATCCTGCTTGCGAAGAGCTGTTGCTTCACGCAGGGCGATGGACGGGACACAAGGCGGGAAATACGGTCCACTTAGCGGGACATACGGGACACTGAGCAAAAACGATCAACAACAAGACAAACAAACATATAAACAAGATAAAGAAAAACAGAAAACAACTAAGCATGCAAACAGGTTCCACAAAAGGTAAAACAAGATAAACAAAATATACAAATCTGTTTTTTGTCTCCCATACCTTTTGGTAAACGATATGTGAAAGGTACAAGCACTTATCATCTTTTAGCTCCCGAGTAGCTTGCTCCAGCTGAACGTAACCTATGTATCTGAGATAAACATAGGTTAACCACCTCATAAACAGACTTATACTGACTATCTTCTATCTGACTGCCAGCCTTCTTAGCCGTCACAGTTGTCCGATTGTCCCTGTCACGAAGGTGATCTTTCTCCTTGCCTAGTCAGTGTCAGAAAAAAGGATGCTCGTGATACGGGAGAAGATACTCTTGGACCCTTTTGTTGCACCATGTTGCACCCTCACTTCAACACGCAGCGCGAGGCGCAAAGCTTCTCCACCACCGGCTGGAAGCCGCGCTCTGCCGCCTTCGAGAGGGCCGCGCTCAGAGTCTCCGGGTGGTAGTTGGCATGACCTGGTGGCGCGCATCTCTGCTCACAACCAAACAGTCGTCTGCCATCGTGACTGGCAATGGCCATTAATAGCAACAAGAGCCACTTTTATATTTGGGAAAGGTTTCGGGATGAACTGTGGCAGTTGGCCCTCCCTCAAACACCAGCTTTCGATCTTTACAGCCTGCCAAATACAGCACCCTCAAAATCAGTTGGGGCATGATGGATCACACGCCAAGTGGTCAGTCTTTCCGCGCCAGCGCCAGCAGTAGATCAACAAACCAAGAAGGTGGTTCTAAAGTTCTTAGCAAAAAAAGTTTGCAAATTGAGCGAGTTGGCAACAACAACCTGAACAGCAAAACTGGTAGAGGCCGGTTCCTAGCATGGGTCATGCCACTGCAAGCCAACTCCCGTCGACAGTTCGGCGAACGACAGCCTTTTGCCGAGCTGCGCAACAGGAAGCCCACAGCATCCGCATGGCCACGTGCGGCCGCGAGCTCGAGGGGCACGCCCACTTTCGAACTGGCTGCCAGGTCCATGGCGCTACCCAACGCCTGCAGCACAAAAGCGCAATCCAAGTGATGAGACGCTTGAACACTTCATGGAATCTCGCAAAATCAAATTTGAGATCACAAAACTTGAAAAGGTGCACGACAAACATCGCACGAGCGTCGCCTCTAGCACTGCCACGTGCCCCTGCTCTGCCGCTACATGCGCAGCAGAAAGCCCCAGCACTTGGTCGGTGGTCGGCTTCTCTGGCACCTCTAGACTCTGGCGCAATCAACCGCTTCCTCTGAAACTGGACACTCATGAAGTGGAGCCAGGAGCAATAAATCAAGGCTGCAATAAATCAAGGCTTGCAAGGCCCAACCATGCAAACACACTAGGGCTGCAACTTGGGTTAGTCTGGGTGGCCATGAGTGTTTCAAGACATTGCGGTATGCGCCTTGGCCTCCCCAGCATGAGCGCCCTGCAGGGCAGCAGGCAACCAACGCAGCACCAAGTTGAACCTGTGGGCGGCAGAAAACAATTGAGCGGGCTCAAAACAGGTCTAGACTTGGTTTCCCTGGTGACGCTCCTTCGCCGAGCTTTCGCGAAGCTTTCGCGCGCGTGCTTTCCTTTGGGGGGGGCTGGCTTTGCATTAACCCTGTTGCGGCGTCCCCTTGAAATTAGCAGGGCAGCTTTTCGGTACAAGAGTGGCACACCAAGTGTGCTTTGGTATCTCCAAACCAAAGAAGAGCAAAGGAGCCAGCGCACGCAGGTCCTGGGTTGCCACACTGAGTTGTAGATCGAACAATTGCTTGTGCTCAAATGGTGTCAACACGCAGTCTCCCTAGAGCCCTTGGACTGCACGTGCTCAAGAAACGCAAACAAGGGTCCGTCCGAAATTCAACTGCAGCTTGCTTTTGTCGCTCAAATCCAGCTCAACCAAGCCACGCAATAGACACCCTCTCGTCTGCCCCATCAGCCACGGATTCCACCTGCAAGGCTTGATGCATGTGGAAGTTGCAGCGCATCAGGGAACATTTGTTTATGAGCGTAGTAGTGGCAGCTCCCAGAAAAAATGCAGCTCACAAGTACGGCTCGCTACTCGCAAACATTAAGCACACCAGCATGGACTCCAATGCGTGAAAAGAGCCGCCCCCTCAAACAGAGTGCATTCATTCTTCAACATCTGCAACTGTCAAGGCCCACCTCATGGGGCAAATCGGGCGGAAAGAGCACCAGTAAGTTGGGCTCAGGGCTGATGGCGATAGGCCCACTCTGCGGGTAGAGCAGTAGCCTGGCTGTCCTACGGCGAGAGCTCACTCGCTTGCCTGGGTAGCTGGTAGATTGTTTGTAGCAGCTAGCTTCTGTTGCCTTTGCACCCTGCTTTTTGAGCTCGCCGCCATCTGGCTCAAAACCCTGGGCTGTGCTTTCGCTGGGCATGATCATCCGAAGCAACCCATCCATCCTGTCTGGCACAGTCGGGTAGAATACGCCGGAGGCAAATAACGAGTTGCCTGGACCTGAGCTAGTGAAGCAGGGGCGCCGGGCGCCGGGTACTCGCTGGCTTATTTCACCTTTACTGCTTGTTGAATTGGCGCACAAACGCAAGGAAGAGTTTAGTATAGTGCTAACATGTGCTAACAACAAAACATACTTGGCGCACCAAAACTTGTTTTATGAACTGCTTTTGTCGAGTAACTAATGCGGCGTGAGCCGGTTTGGTGGCACATGCTACCTTACCCATCTGCTTTCTGGACGTCCACATCATGCTGAACAAGACAAATCTTTCTCGAGCACCGCATGAAAACATAGGGGCCTTTCAGGAGCTGTCAACTTGGCTGCAGAATGTTGCGAGGCAGGCAGCTGCCATGGGTGTGGCGCGCGTTCCAGTCACCGGGCCGGTTGATGTTGGCCCAAATTTCATCTGCTAGCACAAGAGTCCGCACGTCCGGGTCCTGGAGGGCAAGCGCTTGGCTTAGTGATGCATACAATGTTGAGCCTGTTAGCCTTGAAAACACGCCAGTGGGAAACAACGAGGTCAAACAGCTGGCAGCTGCCCCATAGTGAAGACGAAACAATGCGCACTGCTACAAAGAAGCAGGGGGGTTGATCGATATCAAGTCTCTTGCATATACCCCGATCACGACGATCACAATATACTACCAACACAAGTTCAGTGTCACAAAACGAAATATTATTCAGGTCCTCGGATGGATAAGTCCAGCCCTGCGCTGCCGCGTAATCTTTTGCTGGATCTTCAATTAGCTGTATCAACCTCAGGCTGCAGTGGCATGAAACATGTTGCTGCTTACATCTTCATTGGCTGATTAGTGTTTGTCACCCTTCATGGTCCAAGCTTGCGACTGAACGTGGGGCTTTCTCGGGTCCGTGTTTGCATCATCATATGGTTTTGCCCGGGCATCCCCTGGCTCGCCCCCTACAACAGCACCTGGTCATCATATATTCATTGCTTTTGCTATCGCTTAATTCAGCTGCAGCGTGACGCCCACACAAACAAAAAACACAGTTGCGTTGTCATTTTCAGGGCTTTGAACATGACGGACACGCAGGCAGCAACAGCAATGCAATGCTTTTCATTCGGGTCACCTGGTGCCCGGGCTTGTTGTTTCTCACGCATGCCTTGACAAAAAAACCATGGAACACTTGTGTTTTTGCAGCATTGGGGCCGAGTGCACATGCAATACTTTTCCGGCCCTTTTGTCATACAAATTAGCGGAAAAGGACTTGCTTATGGCCATAGTGGTTCTCTGCCACACTTCACATGGAACTCCTGGAAGCTCGAAACATGCTTTTGGCTTTCAAGGTATTCGAAGGACGTCATGCCTAACTATTGTCAAGTTGCCTTGGAAGCCCTACTCAAATCTCCGCGAAGGCTGCCCCTTTTCACGAAGCCATTTTCAACCAGGAATTGAGATGCAAAAAAAGTGGGCTTGATCAGCTCAGGAGTGGGTACTGGGACGACGACGGAAGTTGCGTCAGCACGTGCCGCATGCTCCCATGCCGATGAGATGAATGTGCTTCAATGGCTGGGCCGGCGAAGTGAACGCCGACCTGAGCCGTGTGCTGCTGCTAATTGAATTAGTGCCCCGGCACACCGGGTGTCTACGGCGCAAATACTTGATATAGATGTCTTCGCCGCTGAGAAAAACATCTCCCTGGTCCAACATCCCAGCCGCTCCAGAAACTCTTCTGACTTCAACTGCATCAAGTCCTCGGCTGGCTTTGCCTTCAGCAACTCTAATTGCACACATTTGCTGCCGTGCCCACTGCAAACCAATGCAGAACAGTGCTCCAATGAACATCTAATGCTCGATGCTCGCACATATCAATATCACAATGGCAGACCCGCTAATGAACTTCACGTATAGTGGTCGAAAGCTAGCAAAGCCGAGCAATATTAAATGCTTAATTGCTGAGGAGCTTGAGCGAGCAAAAAGCAAGGAAAAGAGAGCGGAAAGAAGCCAAGAGGAGGAGCAAATAAGAGGAGCAAGAAGAGTGGAGGAAAAGAGCCAAAAACAGAGCAGTAAAATAAACGGAAAGAAACGACAACATGCAGCGGCGGTAGGTAGAGGTCGGGATTCGAACCCCTCGGGGGAGTCCCCCAAGTGAAGACCTGTTTGCGCGATTCATGTTTTTTTGACGGCCACGCTGACGCCCGTCAGAACCTAAAGCGAAGCGCAGCCGATTCACATGTGCTGCCAATTGGGCAGGCGCTCGGTGAAGGCACGACAGCGAGGGCATACGGTGGGGCATTGATGCTCAAATCGGAGCGGCCACCCTTGCTGCTGACACGCTCGGGCGAATGATGCTTGCACTCATCGAAGCAGTGCAAATCTTGGACGCACATCCAAGTCAATGCCATTCCAGCTGCAATTGTTAGCATCACGCTTTGTTGCACAACTTCCCTACAAATTGCAGACAAGCCGCTTTGCTCTGCCAGCCTCCACGATTGCTCAACTTGCGCCCCCTGCGCAAAGAGTCAGACATCGCAGGGTTGAGCGGACAACGGAGAATCCCCTGAACCACTGGCAACAATCGCAAAAATGGAGTGATTTCAGGGGCCATCCTTTCAACGCAAGTTCATTCCTTATAACAACCCCCTCAAACATCGCGGCCTGCTCTGACCTTCCAGCCCCAGGCAGACTTGGACCAGCCTCTCCTTAGCCGGCGCATCTCACAAGTTGACTGAATAGTTGCGGGAGACCTTGCGTTCTCTACGCAAACTCTCGCGTTGACTATTTGCTTCCTTGTCTATTGCCGACCCCGCAGCCAACAGCCAGGCGTCGCCCAAGTCTTTCCTGGAAGTGCAGCGAACGCAAAGAACTGTTTCACTCAGCCTTGGCGGTTGGCAAATGCAACTTTCTAACGCGCCACCTGCAACATCACAGGTTGAGAAGAATCACTCAGCACCCAAATGGCCCTCCTAGGCATCAATAGATCCTTCGGCCAAGGCACCATTCTCTTCCGGGCCCTTGGGCTGAAGCAAAATGAGTCACAAGCATGCATAAACCAGACAAACAAACTTCGAGAAGACCCCTCATCAAAGCGAGGTAAATGTCGGGCAAAACATCCCGTTTAAACTTCTCAGGTTGCTTGCGAAAAGCAGCAATGCTCCGTCGGACTCAATCACGCCACATTGCCGCCAAGTATCTGTGCGCCGCAAAGCCCTCGCGGGTCGGAAGCAAAATCCTAAGGCAGCACTATTCGCACAGGGGCCTCTCTTTTGCTACCTTGAGCGAGCAGCGCAGCTCAATCACTAGTTTCCCTGCCTAGACACTTCATTGAGTTGCTCGACATCCACTTGGTTCGGTTGTTTGCAGCCACGTTGGGCTCGGCGTTGGGTCTTTTGACCACGTGTGCATTTTGGGCGGTACGCAAAAAAGCCTTGGTTTCACGTGACGCTGGCGGCGTTAGCCATTCGCCTGTTGCGAAAGCATGGTAGGTATAGTCTTCCTTTGGAATCTTTGTCAAAGTTAAAGGCTTTCAGGGCCTGGGTTGCGGCAACCTTTCCACGCGGAGCGCGATCGCTCAAGGCGCAGCCCACTGCGATGCCCCATCCGAAAAAGGTGGTGGCACCAAGGTGTTTGGACCTCTTCCGCGCCCTTGATTCTGCATCACCGCATCCCAGGCCAACTCTCCCAGTCTGAGCTTGGGTGTCCAACCGGGGCGCATGGGAAAACGCTGGTTAGCCAACACGTTTTGTTTTTTTGTCTTCCTTGCGCTCACGCCCTTCTGCCCCCTACCTTTTGCTCCATGCCCGAGAGGCGAGGCCGGATTTGCTTTAGCTTGAAACTTCGTTCAAAAAGATCACCGGCCTCGCGACGCTTCCCTGCCAGCAAACCTATGCTGAGAGGTGCTGCGCAAGAAGCACTGTGCAGAAATTTCGCCTCGACCCGCCCGATTCACGCAGAGGGCCGTAGTCCCGTGCCAACCCTGCCTTTAAAAACTTCTGCTTCAATTTCGAAACGTTTTTTCCTACATGAGCTGTCTCCGCTGGCTCTCCGAGCGAATTCCCAACGCAAGCTTCTCGAAGAGAGAAAGTTTCTCTGCAAACGTCCTCTGAGGAAGTCCTCTGAGCAAGTTCTCTGCGCAAGTTTCTCTGCGCAAGTTCTCCGAGAAAGCTCTCCCCTAAGCAACTTTTCCAGGCTCTTAGCACAAGCTTTAAGCGCATGCGCGGCGGCGGGTGAAGGGGCCGGCGAAGGAGGCCGGCAAAGGAGGCTTGAACTTACTCAGAGAAGTTGGAAAGAGAAAATAGCTGCTCAATGAGCTTACTTGCTCAGAGAATCTTATTGCTGTCTCCTCAACTCCGGCTAGGGTTGCGTGTGAGGCTTGCTGGTGTGGTAATGCGTGCGACACGCTGCCCGTGCTGCGAAAAGATCTGCACACATTTACTGCGACACACGCAGCCGCGCTGATCTCAGCCCCCCGCAGGGCGAGCAAGGAAATCAGGGCGTAGGCCCGGAAGGACGCCGCTGCGCGAAACCATCGTAAGTTTTGAGGCATAGCTCAGCCGGGCCATCCGGCACAAGTCACGGCCAAAGGCACTTGCCCACACACAACTAGGCGGCGCTGCTTTCTGACACAACTCATGCAACACCCACCTGATAAAGCCTTCATGCTGGCCATCTAGCCAGAGTCATTCCCTTGCTATGTGTGAAACAGCTCATGTCAAATGCTTTCAATGCGAGTACACGCCACTAACCAAAACCTGATAGAGAATGCCCGCGATATTCCTGAAAAAACTGCGGAAGACATGCCCAGAAGGTATGTTCAAAGACATGTTCCAAAGACATGTTCAAAGACAAAACCTCCAAGACATCCCCCAAACCCGCCCTGAAAGACACAACGCAGCGACGGCCTCCAAAGACAACCACGGATCCCCAACTGACATTTTCTGAGACACCCCCCAGAAGAATCTTCCGAGACATGCCCCGAGACACCCGCAATGACAAACCTGAAAACGAAGACCCCGTGTAGATGCGGCCAGCGACACCCCCATTGACTATTCTCAAAGGCATCCACAAACGCACCCCAAATACATCAGGCAAAAAATCGACCCGGCAGACACCCCAAACAAATCCGCGCCAAGAAGTCCGCCGTGCAAGAACCCCGCGTGCCATCCTGGAGGACATCACCGAAGACACACGCAAACGCAGAGAGATCCGCAAAGACACCCTCAAAGACAAACCCCCAAAAAACATCACCCAAGCAACACCTTCCAGACAATCCAGAAGCGACTTCGACCACGACAACGCAAAGGTTTCACCCCAAGGACGCCCAGTAGGGACACCTTGGAAGGCATCGCCACACACATCACCCAAAACATCTGCCATCTCAAAGACCAAAGACAACTCCAGGCACACCCTCGGAGGACACCCCCAAGACATCACCACACAAGCGTAAAAAAGAACAGCAACCCCACAGCTGACTTGCAGCAAGCATAGCACTGAGTCCTGATCTATGTTTCCAAGCGTTGGTTGTTGGCTGCCTTGTTTCTCATAGGTGCTGGAAAAGCCAGCGCTTCAGGGCGATGGGTGCCAGGCACCAAGCTTCCCGACAACAAGCCCACGCATGCCATTAGTCACTGCTGCGTGTGAGTGCCCAAATGGGGGAGGGGGGGTTCTCATTTGAAGGGAGGCCAAACCAAACTCATGACCTCACGTGACTTGACAGCTTCGCACTCTGAGGTAAAGTTGCGAAAATATCAGGGTCCAAGAGCATTGCTGGAAAGCCTGAGAAATGCTACGCAGCTCATCTTTTTCTGCAGGCGTTTTGCCTTGAAAGGGGCTTGCTCCTTTGTGAAGCCCACGGAGAGGACGTGCACATCGCGCGCAATTGGCACAGGTTGCGCAGCTGGGCATGATCTAGCAAAAGCCAATTCTGGGCAGGATGCCATTTCGCCCGGACGAGCTTCACACACACTCCATCATGACTCACAGTAAAACTCAACCTGCCACACCTGGCTCCAGCCAGTGCTAGGCGCTGCTCTGCACGTGCAGCACCTCTGACACAGCGAGCCCTTGTTCACTCTCAAACATAGCCTGAACATAATCAGTCACTGTGCACAGTCGTGCTCACTGTACAATCTGCAATTTGAACAATTATACTTACGTCACCGGCTGCCAATTTGGCCTTGCAGCCCTCAGTTCGTGACGTGCAGTTTGGCTGTTTCGCCGAAGCAGCCAAAATTCTGGGCGCAGGCCCCTGGTTGCCGAAATCCAGACCCAGAATCTGAAAGCTGGCAGTTTGTCTAGCAGAGGCTCCAGATCATGCTTGTGCGGGGTCCAGCTCCGCCTTCTCACGGTGGTGTTTGTTGTTTGGCGGCCGCCTGGTTTTGGCGCGAGGATGAGCTCCGCACTCTGAGAGTGCTGCTTGTTGCTGGTGGGCCGGGTTGTTTTTTTTTTGCATTTTGTGGTCTTAGACATGGACATATCAAGCGCTTTCTCGCTTGGAAGAACAGCTTAAACAACGTGTAGCGGTTGGCGCCAGCAGGCTTTATGTTGCAACTTGGAATCTTTGGCCATGTTTTTTCAAGTCTTGGACTCTTTGGCCATGTCTTTTTTCGATACTGGTTTGTCTGGGCGGGCTTGAACACGTACAAAGTTTGAACCAAGGTTGGTCCCATGCTTGGTTTAGAGCCATCAGAAAAATCCGTTTAATCATCCAGGATGGCTGCCCAAACCAAGCTTCAAGTGTTTTCGCTCAGCCCGCGCTGCGCAATGCGTGTTTCTCAAGCAAGTTGACACGTTTCGTCCCTGCGCGGGCCATGTGGCCTGGCTGATGCAAATATGGACGGGCTGCCACCAAAGGCGCTGTTTCTCCTCAACTCTGCATCGAGACTTGAGCCGAATGGTGTGATTTCGGTGCCCAGATGTACTTGTACTGCTGTTTTGGGTGCATGCGGGGTCAGCAGCGGTGAGTGCACAAGGGCATTGAACAGCCTCACGAGAGGCCTTGATCGGATTGATGCTGCACTTGGACGCTTGGACCTTGATACTTTGTATGGTGTCCTGGTGATGTCCAACGCAACACTTCTGACAGTTTTGGATTGGCAGGCCTTCACAGACGAGCTGCGCGAATGCCTTGAAGACTGCGCGGCTCAGCAAGCGCCAGCAACGAGTCCTCATGTTTGCAGCCCTCAACAAGGAGCAAATGTCTGCATAGACGTATCTCCTAGAGTGGAGCCTTGTCCTGGCGGTTTGTCCAGATCTGACTCACGTGTCTCCTTTGCGTCGCAGGGTGGTACGAGTTCTTCACACACGACAATCGCTTCCTGAGAGCCTGACGGTTTGGCAGAAAGACTTGCAAATCAAGTTGATGACCCAAAACATTTCAGACTTGAGAGGGGAGTGCGTTGACAAGGACCGAACACTGAAAAAGACTTTGCAAAGACTTCGCAGGGTTGAAGACAGGAATTTGGAGTTGCAGGATGAGTTAGATATTGCAAAAGCAAAGCGGATGAAAACGCTTGGCCATTCAGAGACACGCGGATGCACGTGCAGCCAAGGCTGGTGAATTTGTAACTGAAGGGGGAACGTCTGGCTGGTTAACGCCTCAGGGTTTGTTGTCTCTTGCCATCCGAAGAAACTTGTCCAACCTGGCCACTGCGGACATTGGGTTAGTCTTGTGCATGGACTTGAGCCGGTGGACGTGCGCAAGAGCAGAAGTCCGTGCAGGGGCGTGTTTGATCGCTTCATCACGTTCGTTTTGGCGGGCGTGGCAGCAACAGATTTGGGGGACGCGCCAAGAGCACCACAGCCTCACGGTGCTGGCTTACAGAGAGGACGCAACTAACGCAAGCGTGTGGTGCAAAAGCAAGATGATGGCTTTGGACATTGAAGCGTGCTACGCTGCAGACATTTCGCCAGATGACATCATCAGAAGCGAGGAGCTATCGTGCGACTTGGACGAAGTTGGAATTGGAGTTACCAGGATCAAGCGCCTTGCAGACGTGCTCCCAGTGTCCAAGGATCACGAGACCGGGAAGGCTCACTGAAAAGCTGCTGGAGTCATTGGGCTGCCCTTCTTGGAAGACATTTTTGCGCAACCGCCCCAACAAAGATCCAGTGGCCGACATTGCTTTGGAACTTCCGCGCCTCGGGCTGCAAAAAGCCACGGGTTTGTGTTTTGGATTGTGTCCATGCATGACACGCATGTGTGTTGCTTGCAAGTTTGATTGAATTTTCAAGTTTTTCAAGTGGCAAACATCACGCAGCAAGACTGCCAACCAACACTAAAGGGTTTGCGGGTTTGCGCTACAACATCAAACTGTGTGACAGCGATGGCAATGACGCCCATCATGAGTCATGTCATGCTGTTGGGTTGGGGTGCTTTCACTTGTTGCATGTCGGTTGCGTTTGCGGTCTTCGTTCTGAGGCGACGTGCAGTCATTTGGTGCTGCGCTACCACTGACAGAGGTGGGAACGAGGCGCAAGCCAGGAAGCACGCCACAGTAATGTCCAGCTTCATCCCCAATTTCATCTACGTTGACTCGGACTGTTTTGAACATCAGGCACACCTTGCCGTGCTGGGGGGATTGGTTCTGGTGGATGAGCTTTTGAAGGCCTATGGACGTTCATGGCGGTATTACTCCTCGCTGGCTATTTTCTCAGCTTGTGTGAGGGAGCTTTCCACAGACGTGTTTGGCCAGTGGTGTCAATTGCTTGGTGCTGGGCCTGCGCTCAAACACGGAAAGACATTGGTCCCTAAGTCTAATGGGATGTGTGGATGCTATCGAGAAGCGTGTCGTGGGCCCGCCTGAAGGCCAGTGGTCTGGCGTGCTGAATCGTGTGATTGTGGCAAAATTGGATCTAGGCGAAAGTGATTTTACGGCCATGGACGGGCTGTTGCCCAAGGATATTCTGCACGCGTTCGCCAGCAAACTTCCGAAATCCAGGTCAACGAAGCACGCTGCCAAGGGCGGTAAGAGCAGCGCCGACGCTGCAGCTCCCAAGGCAAAGGCAAACCCTTCATTGTCGGCAGCAGAGAAAGTGGATGTACTTGCGGTGGAGCAATTGTCTGAGTACGCTGCTCGGATTGGAAAGTGGCGGCGGCACTTGTTGTTTACCATCAACGACCGCCTGTTTCTGCGGCTGGTGCGCGTGATGAATTTGACACGCGCGCCCCTCATTCACTTGAGCCACTTCCTTAAGCAGCGCGTTGAGGAAGGTGAGCCCGGGGCTGGGAAGCTGCGCCAGCTTGTTTGCCACAAAGCAGAGTCAATTAAGGGCGAGTTTGACGAGCTCTTTCGACGCACGGTTGCACTAAGCAATAGTTTTGGATGTCTCCCTTGCTCAATCAAACAAACGTAATTGTGGTCTAGTGTCCGGGCTGTTGGCACACATTCCTGCGTTGCGGTGGAACCCCAATTTATTTTCAATGTTCATGTCAAAAAGCCAGTTGCCATGGCCTGGGCCAACATGTTGGCCACAGTCCTAATGACGCAAGGACGCCCTGACACATGGAGAAGCTGCTTTGCCAAGCTGGACGGAGCTGATGGGCGC